GCCTGTGGCCCTATCAGGCCCCGATACAGCCGGAGCATCAGAAGATGTGGTCAGCCTAACGGCCTTTTCTCCCGAAAAGATTCGCTTCTTGAACTTCTCAATCTCAGTATTGGTCTGGTCCTCAAAGGCAGCTTGGCTCCTGAAGATAGCATGATGCTTATCCTGAATAACCTGATGAAGCTGACTCACGCCACCCTCTACTTCCCTAACGGATTCCCGGACTTCGCTCAAGAGTGAGTTGATCCTCTGATCCACAACCTCGCTCTGCTCATCGATAGCATGTCCAACGACTGCTCTGCTATCGGGAATGATCTCACCGGCAAACCGTTGAACTATCAGTCGCATCCGATCAGCATCCGCCTGGGTTGCAATCTCGGTAGCCAAGCGACTAACCTTGTCCTTCATCTGCTGACTCTCATCATGCCATTCTCTACGCATGGAACTCACCTGGCCGTTCAGTAACCTGATCTGATTAGCAAAAGCATTGAGAGTGTTCACAACAGAGCTAGAGGCCTTGCCCCTCTCGAGCATCTCCTGGATGTGCAAATCAAATACTTCCTTAACTCCAGTATCACCGGATTCCCCAGAAGAATGAGATCTGAGGGCCGGAGGGGTCGATATCCTGAGCAGCGTGTTCGGGCTGGCGCCCCTCCCCCGGCTATCGCCGGATCTGGGATTAACATTCGAACCACGAGGTTCAGGTGTAGAGTGAATATGAACATCAGCAGGATCAAACATGGCGTCGAACCTAACGGTTCAGGGCTGGCCCTCGCCTTCGACCTATCGGTCCCTCCGGCCAAGGGTGACGGCCTCTTCGCAGAAGCACTTCGTTCCCTGCTGGCTGATCCCCACTGAGGAGTGACTTCATTACTTGACCTTAGAGGCTCGAGGTCGCTGAGATCTCGCCCTAACGGGCTAGCGAATGGACGATCCTCGATCTCCAACGCACTCGCAAGTCTTCCGTCCCTTGCACCTGCTTCAACCACATTGGCGGCCCGTTCAGTGATCCTGGATGAACCAGTATCCCGGTTTACATCCTCAACTCTCTGATGCAGCGGTCCTCCAAAAGTGATATTGGGAAAAGGGGGGACATTCGGGATGGGCTCAATCACAGGAGGACCTATCGGTCCTCTTCCATCATGGATGGCCTCCAAACCCCTAAGGGTGTCCCGACTCTCCCTAATCCGTTCTCTCTCACTCCGGGTGTCCCTGTCCTCACGAATGTCCCTCGCAGCTCCACGAGTCAGGCTCCTAGCCCTTGCAGCTTCACGGCTCCTTGCACTTTGGTACGACAAACTCTCTTCTCGCTCACGAGCATCCGCGAACGCGGCATAATCTTCATCATTATCGAACTCAAATAGAGTCGCCGAAACCGGGTTGGGCCTATCAGTATCAGACTCAGGCTTCACACTACCGCCCCATCCCGCGGTTGACGACAACAGGTCATCGTATCCGATGCCTGCAAACGCCCTCTCCTCGCGCTCATCAAACTGACCTGGATTTTGAGACCCAGTTGATCGGCCCGAGATATTTCTCGGAGCCAAAACCATGGTTCCCGGTCCTCGCGGCCTGTCCCGAGGCCTGTGATTCACCTGGAACAAGAGGCCTTGGAGGTCGAATAGGCATGGCCTCCAGGTCGTCCGAGGGCGGGCCATGTTCATCGCCATACTGATGAAGTCCAAATGTCCCGATCCGAAACCTGAACCGGAGCCGCTCCTATCGGGGCGAGCTCCTCGTCCTTGCTCATCATCGGTGGCCTGACGGAAAATGCGGTCGTCTCCATCGTCAGTATACCTGCCACGGCTTCGGGGTGTGTCCCTATCGGGATCGTTACCCCTACGTTCCTGACCTGTCGAACCTGCTTCGAAGTCCGTAGTCGAAGCCCGGTAGGTCCTCACCTGAGCGGAGGCCACCTAGGATAGCCTCCTCATCCACGACGCTCCTGCGAGATCGTGGGGTCGACGTCATTGAGCTTGTAGTTGATGGTCTCAAGCGCGTAGGAAAGTCCTACGGCTGATAACCTGTGATTCGGGCACGAGCCTATGGCTAAGTTGGGGTAAACAAGCCACAAAAGAAAGGTTCCCCAAAAGCAAACCAATCCCCGGTCCCAAAGATCAGGGTTTCCCACACACCAGAGAACAACAACCAAAAGAAAAAAGAGTTAACCCGCAACCTTGATCGACGACAGGCCGCACGAATGGTCCCTACCAACCAGGCGGCGGCCCGAGGTCTCTTTCTCCCCCGAGATGCCGTCGGTCGACGCAGGGGTTTTGCGACGCCCATCCGAGGCGCGACGGAACCCATAAAACTTGAGCCAAACACCACCGGTCAGTCACTAACGCGACATCCCTGGTGGTGGATTAAACCATGGCTAATCACAGGGGGTTTTCGTTTGGCCCACTGGCAGGGGCAGATTTCCAAAGATTTTGGGCATCCTGGCCCAGTCCGGCTGCTCCTTGCTTTGCGTCAGGGTTGGGCAGCATGTTTAGGGGACAGATCAAACTTGATCTATCGCTTTGTGGCGCCACGATCTGTAAAAACCGTCTACGAACAACAGCTTTTCCAACATTTATACGGCAAAACCACTTAATGGCTGGGCCAAGCCATGGCCAGGCCGTGCCAAAACATTCGTCAAGTGAAAGACTGAGAACCCATTCCCTTGCCCAGAAAGGTTATGATTGAAGAAATAGGGGGCAGAATAAGAATAGATTCTGTGATGCCAAAGTGGGCTTCCTATGTCTATGTTACCACAAGAACAAGGGGACTCCCCTAGCCCTGAAACCCGATTTTCCATGACCATACAATAGCCCAAGCAACGCCCAAAATGGCACCCGAACGAAACAGCGCTCCCAGAAATGCAAGTTTGCCCGCTACACAAGTGCTATATATTTTAACATGCGTCTCCACCTGTTGGAAGGCCAACAAAGAGAATCCATGTCTCGGAACAACAGACAAGTCACTTAAAACTCTCAATTATCATTCTCTTGTTTGTTCATTTGCAAAGCAAAGCTGCAAAAACCTGGAGCCCAAGTCTCAGCCAGCCCTACCTGCGTCGTCAAAGGTCTCCTTGCAGCGACCAAGGACTTTCGCCGGTGCGTCATCCGCAAGATTGCACCTCATCAGGTCTCCTCAGCTGTCCAGGGCATCCGAGAGCAGTCACGACCCCAAAGGAACGCTGCCTCATGCGCGACGAATGGAACGACGAGCAGTGAGGCTCATTCGAAGGCCCATGACATTCACATGCATTTGCAAGCCATTTCACAATGAACACGGCTGGCCGTTGACTGTTCGAACATCTCATCCCGAGCAAAGTCGCTTGGTACAGCAGGGTAGCTGGTGGCAGTGATCCTCCAGTCGCCACCATCACAGGCGCAAGCACTCACTAAAACCACAGAGACTATTCTTATTTTGCCTATCTCTTGTGTACGCCTGTGTGTCTGCATGTCGGCATGGGGCCAAAATGTTCCAAAATGTTCCCCGTCTCCCTGTCTCGGTAGCCGCAGCACTTTCAATCTCTTAAGTCCTGAGCCAAGAAATTGCAAAGAGAGGAACAAAACGTCATTCTTATCAAAACAATCTCAAGCACAGCAGGCATGCCATTTAGACCGAAAACATTGTTTGGACAAATGATTTTACCCCAAGGATCATCTAGTGGTCCCGTTGGATGGTTTGGGACTGCTGACAGACGAACAGCTCAACGTAGCTGGCCCATATAGCCATGGATGGCACTGCTTCCTTGCCATCAACAGGGGCCCTTCTAAATCCTCGAAATCCTTGCAATGCGGACAAGCAACTAGAACCACGGTTCCGCCAAACAAACATGTGCGGAATCATGTGACTCATAAGGAAGATCTCCAAAGGAGGCGGGACAACATGCTTCTGCTAGGGAACCCTCAAAACTGGAGTCTTGAGTCTTCATGAAATGAGACATCCCTTTTTCAGCAGCGCTCACACCGCCCGGCCTCCAGGTCAATTTTGTTCCCAACCAGGGCCAGGACGACATCCCGCCGCGCACCCTGCGCAGCAACCAGAAGCTTCACCATTGGAGCAAAATGGGATCCCGAAGCGGTCCGTGAGTGGCTTGCTACAAGGGAAAGCTGGTCGAAGACGGGATCCTATCTTTCGTTCAAGGCTTGGATGCTATTGGGAGTGACCAACAATCCATACGTTTCCCATGTTTCGCTTCTACCAGATTCTACCAAGTCCGTGGAAGCAACATGTTCGATCGTTCAAAGAGATGCTTCTTGGACCCGCTTGTCACCTTTTCTTCAAAAAAGCTGTTGGATGCTGTTGGTCCCAAATGTTTGAGGGTTCCTTTGTCAAAACGCAATAACGCTTCGATCTCCGGCCTCTCTCACCTGCTGGACCCAGCCATAGACACTGTCGAAAGATTCCTGCGGAGGATTCCGGGAGCCCAATCTTTGTTTGAGATCACAAGTCGTCTCGGGGAAACCCTTGGTTTCCCTTCAAACCAACTCCAAAAAGGGGGACAAACAGACGGCCAAACAAACAAGCACGCGCACATGCGCAAAGGCACTCAAAGGCCAGCAATCGAGCTCGAGCTTCAATGAGCATTGCTCGCATCCCCAGTGGAAGCCCCTCGCAAAAACCGATGTGGGAGAGGATTATGCCCCTGGCTGGGCGCGCTAGGGGTCCTTTTTCAGAAATTGGAGACGTGCCCTCGCGCAAGTCTGACTCAACATGGTGTACGCGAAGCCGGAGCGGGCTTGAGGCTTGAGTCAAGGCAAAGGCTTTGGCTGGTAAGGCTGCCTTGCTTTGGTTCATATGTTGTTTCTGTTTCTTCCCAGTCCTGATTCTGTTCAAATGCACAGGCGTGGCCAGGCTTAGGCCGCCTGCAAAGGGTTGCCCTTTGTTGCCGGTAGGATTGGGAGGACAAACCCAAAAGACAAAAAGATAGCAGTATCGTGACCAAATGGGCATAATATACGCAAGGCCAGCTGATCCCCTCACGGCCGCATCCCTCAAGCGCGCCCGCGATGTCACGTCGTAGACGATGACGCAGCCTGCGCTGTCCCGGAGATAGCCTGCACGGGTGGTGGTGTCGGTGTGGCGGTGGCGGTGGCGGTGGCGGTGTCGGTGGCAGTGGCGGTGGCGGTGGCGGTGGCGGTGGCGGTGGCGGTGACGACTTAGGCCAAATTGTTGTTCACACACAAACAAAAAAGTGATTGTGCTGATCTATTGCAAGTGGTGGTTGATTCTTGGCGGGTGTCCCAATTTAGAGGGTGTTGTTCTTTCTTAAGCAGGAAATCCCGTATGATGCCGTCAAGGGTCTGTACTGTCTCTTTGCAGCGTTGCAATGTTTCATCGGCATGCCAAGCGGCTGGGGACCAATGAGCGGAACCTCTCCTGGCCATCCGAGATGCTAACCCCCGTGACTTGTCATGACCCTTTTTAATGGAAGACGGGCACGTGTGGACCCCCACAAATCTGAAGCTCCTGCCCCGCCGTGTCCCACAGCTGAAGCCGCAGCTGCTTCCCCTGGCGCCAATCGCCCAATGAAGCCGGATGTGCAACCCAAAACGATCTTAGACACACTCTCGCACAGTCACACCTAAAAGCCTAGCTATGACGGTAAAGAGGTATGTCCCCAAACATGTACCCAGGTACACACACCTTGTCCCCACCATAAAATAGATGGTTGGAGCAAGTCCTCGAGCACACGTAGTTATTTCCCTTCAGTTCAAAGGCCAACTCGCAAGGACCAAACCCCAGGATGATCCGAACGCAGGTTACAATTTGAGCTTCATCCAAGGGCCATTACGAAGGCATGCCTCGAGGGGTGCGGTTGTGAGGTGAGCCCTCTCTTCGAATCATGACAGATGTGCCCTGAACCTTGTTTTTTCACCGGGGACAGGGCACTTGGAATCCTTTTGCATCTTGCGACAAGGCAAGCCACCAGTTTCATCCTCACTTCCGGAAAGGACAGTTGAGGCGAATGTTCACTTGGGCCAACCAGTCGCTGCGATTCTTGCAACAACGAGAAAAAAAGAGATCTTGTTTGGACCAGCCACGTCTTTGCATGCAGGCTCCACTCCAGGGTTGCTTTAGTGTGTTGACCGCAACCCAAGCTGCTTGGCCAGCCGCCTAATATAAACCCCTGCTGAGCCTAAATGAACCCCAAATGAACCCAAGACCCGCCCGCATTATATAAGATCTAGCAGCAAACAAACAAACAAACAAACCAACAAACAAACAAACAAAGAAAGAAACACACAAACAAAGAAAGAAACACACAAACAAAGAAACAAAGAGACAAAGAAACAAATAAGCAAGCAAGCAAGCAAGCAAGCAAGCAAGCAAGCAAGCAAGCAAACAAACAAACAAACAAACAAACAAACAAACAAAACCAACAAACAACCAACCACAAAATCGTGAAACTTTCCAGACCCAGCCGCAAAATCACACCATGAATCTCAAAAATCGGCCCTTATTTCCCACACGCCCCGCCCGCCAAGGTGGTCTGCGGGTTCCCCAACACCGAAGCGCTCGCCTCAAGGCTCACCACCTTCGACACGAAGTCCATGCCCACGGTGGCCTCGTAGCACGGCTCGAAGCTCCTACGTGCGGCACAGGGGCCCCAATGGCTGGGGAGATGCCTGGGCAAATGGGTGTTTGTGTTGGATACCCCAAAAAATGGCGGTTTCCCGCTCCAAGAAAAGGGTACCACCCAAAAACCATATAATGTCCATGTTTCCTTATCTGTGATTTTACTGCAGACTTAATACCTTTCACCCGCCAACTCTCTCCTGCAACATCCCAAGCTGACAATTGCGGAAGGAGAAGACTGACGTGGAAGAATGACCTGACCAAACCAAAACTTCATGAGATCCAACTAATAATCTGATAATGCTTCGAAGCATATAATCAAGGTCAAGAGAAAGCGATAGAGAGTTGTGCTTTTATTTGTGAGCCAGATGAATGGGGAATAGGAACGGAGACCAATGACTTGAGACCTGGACCAGGTGGTAGATTTTGATGTGTAGACCGCTTCCCACGGTAAACGTCTGGACCCACGGGCAATTCCTTCATACATCCCATGGCCATCACATGGAAACAGATTACATAGGCATGTGGCATGAGGCAATTGCATGGTAGACAAATGGAAGAAATTAAAGGAGAAAGAAGGCAAGAAGAAAGAGAAAAACAAACAAAAATGAAGGTTCCAAAGGTACAGAAAGAGAAAAGAGATATGAAGAAATGAAATAAGAACTCATTCACTGCATCTTGGTCATTAGAATATGTTGGTCTTCAATAGAATTTGGCATCTTAGGAACGAACCAAGGGACGGAGGAGTGGGAGAGGTATCCAACCAATACTCAAGACGAACCCACAGGCTGTACCTCTTCCTCTCGCCTCATGTTCCAAGAAGTAGTTTTCTGGTAGCAGACATTGAGGGAGGAAATGTCCTGTACACAAACTGGCGGATCAGGGAGGTCTTGCCCACAGCGCATTGGCCCAGGAAGACCACCTGTCGTAAAAAGAAGGCCATCAGCTCAGCCCCAGGTCCCCTAGGTTTGGATTGACCGGCTTTGAGACTAGCTTCTCATTCGGGTGGGAATGTTGATGGGGGACCCTTCGGACACCATTTCGGTGGCATGTCCACCAACCACTTGTGAGGTGGTTCCCTATTGAAATCTGTAGCCATGTTGGCGTTTCCCTGCACATGCCAAAAGTGTATCTTCCATTGGAAGTAATCCCCATTTGGTGTCAGGAGGAACCCTCGGTTCAAGCCACAACGCAGGGGGTGTGCATGTTGCCCACTTGTCGACAATTTTTATATAACCCTCTTATTCAAAAGGAAATGTTGCATTCTTGGAAAGAATGAGCCTTGGACTTAGAGGTGGTTTTTTCCCGGCCGAAGATGCACACAGTTTGAATGTTGAGTGGGGTTGATCCAAGGATAAGCTTAAGGCTTGATACAGTACAGGATGAAGGACAAATTTAGCATGAGTCTCGTGGCAGAGTCTGCAAGGGATGTAGCGTGGGCTCGGTGGGGTTGGGATTGGTTAGGGTGCGGTTTGCTGAGTCGGATGTGTTTTTGGAGCTTCCTGGGGCTTTTGTTGCAATTCCCAGCACGCAAGAGCTACCATGGCATACAGGGCCAGGAACTGAACAGTTCTAATTGTGGCTCCCCATGGATTCGTGCGAAAACAACTTGGGGACAACGGGTGGTGATTTCTGAAAAAAAGGATGGGTGAAGCGTCCGAGAATGGAAAGGAAGTCAACCCCTTTCACAACCATTGCAATGTCGACCCTTACAACCGTCCCAGACATATTCTGCAGGCTTCCAGTCTTGGAGCCTTGCCCAGTGGCCGTGGACGCTTCGACAGCTCGGTTTTGGCTGCTCGTCTCGATTTCAGCGCCTGGTTCTTCCGCATCCGCGATCCGAAAAGCCTCGCCTTCTGGGAGCGGATGGGGCCGTGCTTGGAAGTCCCGGCCTCGGCTTTGCTGGTGCGGCGCCCACTGCCACAGGAGAAGTCACCATAGTATTCAGCGGTGTCCTGCTGTTTTCCGTTTAAAATCAACCCCGAAAAAAGCTATGGGACCCGATTCCTCTCATGGACAGCAATGATTCGGTCCATTCAAAAAACACTACAAGAAAAGCTTGGACTTCAGGGATCAAACTAAAACGGCTTATAAGCTCTCGTTGCTTCTTTGGAGCTTTCCTCCCTCCCAAGGAAAGCAAGCACTCCAGAGGAACAGCTGCAAGCTTGAGTCGAATCACTCTCAGCACACCCTCTAAGACCCAGACAGGCTTCGACATCTTAAGAAAATCCCGAGGGGCTCTACCATTCTGAGTCTATCTGCATTGGACTCAAGCCTGCCAACTTCTTGCTTATTGTCAAAATCCTGGGCAGAGCAACGCCAAATCCTTTGGTTGGCCCTTGATTGAAAAAACCGTTCGGACCCAAAAACACATGCCTGTTGCTGTGTCCTTCTGTATATTCAGAATTCGTGTATCATGATAGTGCACCTGATGCTGTCTTTTTAGCTGAATGTGCTGGCGTCTTTGTCGGATGCTTGCTGGTCGGAAGCCAAGTGGATGCTGTTGAGGGCATCGCAGAATACAATGACCACAAGCAGAAGCACCGTCGCCAACACCATACTACCACTAACGAGTGGAACAACGGCAACCAGCTAATGGAGTTTGTGCCAACCTCACCAGAAGTCGTTCCACATTGGTGGCTGCAGTAGGCAGCCCTAGCACACTTTGGAAGAGGGGACCTAGAATGCATCAAACATCTCCAAATTTTGGCAAAACGAATGGAATTGGAAGCAACACCTGCGTCACGAAGTTTCCCACATGTGCATATATATATATATATATATAATGTATACATACATATACATATACATATACATATACATATACATATACATATACATATACATATGCATATGCATATGCATATACATATGCATATGCATATACATATACATACACATATACATATACATATACATATACATACGCATATGCATATGCATATGCATATCCATATACATATACATACACATACACATATACATATATATATATATGTCCATGCGCCGCAAGATGCATGTCGGCATATCCCATGGAAATCAAGAGAGTGGAACACGTCAGAATGCGTCTCATGTTGACAGCTCGCGTCAACAGCGAACAGGAGGGGGAGTCATGAATCTAACACTGACGTCCTTGATGCGCCGTGCTCGAGAGACCCGTTTGCCCACTTGGTAGAACACGTTTGCTCGGTCAGTGTCAGTCCGGAAGTGCCGCACACAGCCCAACATCCACAAAGCCAAGCACCACAAGCCGCCCACTGCAGTACATTTTTGCCTCATGCAGGCCCTGAGTAGCCCTCTTTGGGACCTGCGGCGGAGATGATCACCACTTGCCCCGGAAACAAGTCTGCGTGCAAGTGAAGGCTTGAAATGCGCCAGATGGATGCTGACTGGTTGGCGCAACCCCTGCAAATCCCTAGCGGTTGGTGCACCTGAGTTTGCCTTTTTGAGGGTACCCTTTGCAGGTTGTTTTGAAGGGAAGCCAACGGGAGAATCATTCTGAATCGTCCCCCGATTTTGACACATGCTGTGCCTCCGTAGCCGCCCATCGCCGGCGGAGGCGGCGGCAGCCCTGCGGCCTTGCGAAATGCGAGAAGGAAGGGTCGAAGGCTGAGCCGACAGGGTAGGGGGCGTGGGGACCTTTGCCCTTCCCCTTTTTTTATCAATGAATCAATGCGTGGCCCGTAAGGGGTTCAAATCACGGCGAAATCCTCACGCAGGTGCCCTTGTTCAATTAGAAAAGTGGACAGGTTCAAGCGGACAGTCTTCCAAAACCTCTATAAACTTGCATGATTCTTGGAAAAAATGTATTTTGCCCAGCACTTAAGGATCTTTATTATATTTGCTCCACGGGGTTCCCACACTCATCAGAGATCCAGAAAAATACAGGAATTCCCAAAGGGAAACTCATTCAAATTGCCCCAGAAGGTGATCTTTGAAGCAGCAAGAAGGGAAATATAGGAACCCGTGTTGCCGTGACAGTTCGCCGAAACATAGGAATACCCCCGGTTCTAACCTTTTCTCAAGCAAAGAAGCATGAAGTGATGCCTGAGCCTCATCCAAGCAACAAAGGCACCAGCAAAAAGCCAGACAAAAGCCTGCTCGAACCACCAGGATGATGCTGCTATCCTTTGGCAAGTGACATCATTCGGATGTCTGCTTTAGTGCAATGATTCCTCGTTGATAGGACAGCCCACCTTCCATGCGGCAACCTGCCATTGCCCCGCCTGTCTCGCTTCCAGCTCCCGCTTCCGCTCGCACATGATCTGGCCGTCGGGCAAAGAACCAAATTTTCACTGATGGCCTCCTTTGATGCTGGCATCTGGCATGCATGACTCTGGTGAGCAATCAATGGGCCTGAGATCTAATGTGTGCTGACCACACACACACACACACACACACGCACGTACGCACGCACGCGCGCTCGCACCCACACACCCATGGGAGCCACCCGCACAGCCCTTTATTTTGGCTGCCCAGCCAAGTTGACTTGCCATCACATGGTTTGGCCAAGGCCCTTGCGAAACTCCACCAGGTGTTCTTCCACCCGAAACCACTGGCCAAGGGGAAATCTACATTCACCCTGCAGCCACTCCCCTGTCCCCTTTCTCCCTGCAGGGCAGTGTGTGGGCCTTGCAGGGGCAGTGGGAGCCCTCTTAGCAGCAAGGAGCTCCAAATCAAGAGACTTCTCAAGGCTGGTGACCAGCGCATCGGTTCGAGGCCTGACAGAAGAACTCGTACTGCAGGCAGGTGTACATGAGCTCTGCCATGGTTTGCACCTCTCCTATGGATCGAAATGAATTTCAATTCGCACCCTTTGCACATCAAGAAATGGGAATAGAAGTTGTCCACCAACCATTTTTGAGGATTTTCCAAACGCTAAAAATCGCCGTAACTATCTCTGCCCAGCGACGCGGGCCAACTTTCGTAGATGAAAGGATTTTCAGGGAGCTGCGGTGAGCTTCGGTCAAAACATGTGGTTCCGCAATGGGCGCGCAAATTGTGTGAGTTTTCCGGAAAATCTAGCGGGTCACCCATGTCCCTCCCACATCAACCTCAGACAAAATACTGGGTACTTTGACCTCATGTCGCTTTGCTTGGGCTTTGCAGACTTTACCCTGCACCCTGCAGACTGAAGGAAATGGCATACCTGCGGGGCCAGTCCTTCATTCGCGGACTTCTCCATGGCAGCATAGAACGCCTGCCAAAGGCACATGGAGAAGCTGACGGTTGATCCACTTGCTACGTGTCGGGCGATTGCAGCCAGGCAGCCCAGAGCCAGCCTTGCTGCCTTTCCAACAATACGACTGTTCTAGCCTTCCAATATCCGGATGAGCCGGTGATTCTGCAACAGTTCAGCATGAGATGGGCCAGCCTCAGGCGTTGCACCGATGCTTGCCAAAAAGGAGTTCAGTCTGTCCTTGCGCACAAGACTGCGGACAAAGATTGCCGAGACCTTAATTGTCAAGTCTTCCCATCACAAGCTCTTCACTTTGCACTAGAAAAAGCATAATCGACCAATTTGGAGGATGCTTGATGAAAGGGGTTATTACGATCCAACAACTCTAGCATCGCCGGTCTTGCCAGTGGCAGTGCCTGCTTCCAGCACCGCACCAACACACGATAACAACAGCAGTCGCACTAAATTAGTTCAAGCGGCACAGGATGCAGTACAGTACATCATGGCTCAGCAAGGCACGGAGGCAAGACACGGCAAACATCAGTGCAAGCCTGCCAGCGACGTGATGTTACATATATGTTACACTGGCCGCTTGCAGTTGCATGGTGTTAAGGCTTCTTCAACCAGAGCTGCAATACTGCGCCGTCCTCAAAAAGCTGCTTGAATTCGTTGTGCAGCTGCGTATACCTGGATAGTTGGCTGCTTGGATGAAGATAGGCTTGCACGAAGCTGACGGCTTGCGCGCCTGCTTGCTGGGAAGCTTGCTGCCTGTTTACTGGCTGGCTTGCCGTGGCTTGAAAGCCCAGTGATGCAAGTGGAACCATGTTCAATTGAGACCTTCAAATCGGGCCGCAAAATGCTAAGCCCTTGTAGAATTCCATTTGTTCAAGCCCCCAAAAGCCCACTCTTGTGCTCTACCCCCACTGCCAACTTGTCGCCAGCTGACAAAACCACCCCTTGGCGCACACCAGCTTGTGCTCGCCCAATTCAGGCTCAAAGACGGCGCAATTCGCATCAGCGAACTGCACGGCCGTCTGCACCAGCGCCTGCAATCCGAGCAACACCTTCAGGCGGACCCCAAAACAGCAGGCTACATGCTGCAGTCAGAGACGCCGGCCCTCAAAAACAAGACTTGCTGCAGGAGTGGTCTCATTCCTTCTGAGTTTCTTTGCAGGGAGAGCTCGTAGAGCTCCAACCACTGTTATGCCCCGAACCCGCGTACCTCCATCTCTGTGCAAGTGAACCACTTCTTCACCTGGCGTGCAGGCATCTTGAGACACAGGACGAGGCACAGCTGTATATGTAACAAGCTCCTGGAAGAATGTGGCCACTTGGGCAAGGTCATGCCCTTCTTAGGCCAATGCAAGCACTGTGCACTTCACGCGAGGTGCACTACACGGGTGCCTGTTGCACCAGCTCCTCCTCTTCGCCCGTGACTTCCATGGCCAAGGGGGCCCGACCTGTGAAGCACCCCAAGAGCAAAAACACTTTGCTCAGTGAGCAAGGCCAGGAATCTGCTGCACAACGCAACGAACCAAGCGGGCTCTTTCAGCTGGCTTGACCCCTCATTTGAAAACTGCTTCTTGCCAGCAAAATCGGACGTCGCCCAAGGTACTGGGCGTCGAACGGGCACGAGTGGCTCGCGCAGGCGTGGCAATGCTTCCGACTTTCGTCTACGATGCACTTGGCTTGCCTGTCACCTTTATCACAACTCGGTAGATCGATTCATGCAGTTGCTTTGCACAGTTTGGAAAATGCCTCGGATAGTGCCTTGCAATGTTTCGTATCTTACCGGTAGAACCATGTGTGTTTGGAGACAGACAAGGCGGCCCTGAGCCTCACAACTTGGCGCAAAACGAAATGCAATTTGCCGTGCGACTTGCAAAGGCATGTGAGCCTGGGCCAAAATTGTTGTGCCTCGCGTGAAATTGACTGACATCACTATGCCCTTTCTGTGTTCAATACTTTGTAAAGCTTTGTCACTTGCAAAATCATAAACACTAAACAGTCACAAGCCTGCAGAACACATCCAGTTGTCAGCACTCGTTTTCACTAACTGCAAGTTCAGTCCAGCATGGTAGAGTACAAGGGAGTGCCACCTCCCCATCGAACAACTTGCATGAAACCACGCTGAAGTGCATGAAGGATGCAACAACAGGACCTAGACTCGAGCCGGATGAATCGTGAATCCAAAAGAATCTTTGCTGTCCTGTTGTGCACTCTGCTGTACAAGTTCCATGCTCTTGTGGCACAGCTTGTGTCAAGCCTCATTGCGTTGCCCGCCTGCATGTTTCTGGCACCGACATACTTAGTACCAAGTAACCTCCCACAGTCAAGTATCCCGCCAGTGCTTGTCGTTCATCGAACGCCGCGCGTTTCGCGATTTCTAGAGACGGCCCCCATTCGCTCAAAAGTTTGCCTTGGCTAACCCCCTGGACCAAAACAAATCCAGAACACTGCAATCTCCAGCATGGTCAAAAGGGTAAGAAGCTGAACCTCTTGTTGGGTTGCAGGTGCTCCGCAGACGCAGTCAAACAAACAGTCGGGCTTGCCCATTTGCAGAGAGCCAATTCAAGAAAAGCGATCACAGCCTTCCCCCCGTTTCAGCCGCAAGAAACCTCTCCAACAGGTGCAAACAGGTATCCATGGATCCAACCCCAAAGAGCCCAAAGAGCCCACAGTGCCCAGTGCCTTCATGCCCGGATGGTTGGCACCCGGGCGCCGTAGCTGCTGCTGCGCCTCCAGGAAAAACAAAATATGTGGCGGGCTGTCACACACTTCAAGGTCCATCTGGCGAATGTCAGGCAAAACGAAGCTCAAAAAGGAAACAATGGTCAATAAACCAGGAAAAAACAAACCCAAACAATGAAGATCCCCAGACCAACAATGAAAATCCCGGAACCAAACAATTGAAAACAACCAAATGTCAAACAATGAAAAGTCGGCACCAAACAAAGAAGCCAACAAAAACACAAACCCAAACCAACCCAACCCCCGAGCCTCGGGTTTTGCCTGCGCTTAGGCGCCGAGGCGCAGCGCCGCGGCGGCATCTTTTGCACTGGCAAAAACCGCCGGGCCCGACTGGTCCCCCCCCCCTGCCGCCGCCCATGTGGTCGGATTACCCACGGGGTTGGGAATGTTTCAAAAGCCTTCATCTGGGTGTCTCGAAAAGAAGGGCAACGCAACCTGCAAAACGGTTGGTTCCCTTCTCCCTGGTTCCCTTCAATTCGGCGTGGTAGCCCTTTTTGGTGTTGATGATGTTCAGGTGGGTTCAGTTTTTTGAGGGTACCCCTTACCGAGGGTGTGGTTGTGGTGTGGTTTTGAGGGTGCGATCCCCTGGTGTAGTTCCTGTTTTGGGAGTTGGTATTTTTTTTAGATGGTAAAGAGAAACAACCAGAAGGAAAACCAGCCACTTGGGTTCAAATCCCACATGGAGGTCAAAAAACAAGTGTCCCAAAGTTTGAAATCCAAAGCGGCCAACGTGTGCCGAATGGTACCTCGGCGCTGAACCTAAAAATCAATAACTCCCGAGTTTCACATGCCCCCAACTGAGCAGCGCCCAAAACCCCTATCGGCCATTTGGGCATGTCCCCATCTTCAGGTTCCATGTCAGTCGCAAGAGGTCAAGATCTAAGCTTGTGCACCCTGCGTTGAGTCATGGCAGTCGCGAGTCGCGGCGACAAGAGCGACCTTCTACCTTCTGCTCCTGCATGGCGTTGGCCTGGTCGCGTGCACACCGAGCATAGGGGGACAAACCTCCAAAAAGGGCACCAATGAAAATAAGTACAGGGCGAAGAACAAAGGAGCACTGCCAGTGGCAGCAGCCTTCTCACTAGTAGGGCACTCCAGTCGCTGCTGCGTGTAACCACCTTGCTCGCTAGGTGGCTCCTTCGGGCACAAGGGTAGAACATCGGCCTTTGCCAACAAAGAGGAAAGGAACAACCAGTCAAACAAGAATCACTATCTGAATCTATTCAAAACCAGCACCACAACAAAACCCGCAATGTCGCTCGCAACCAAAAGCCGGGGACGCGGGACGCCGAAGCTGCCGCCTGGCGCGCTTCCCGCTGCATCTGCAGCTCTTGGAAGGCACCGTCCAGGCGCTGCAGCGAGGCCTAGAGGCGACAGAAGGAACAAAAGGCTTTGGAACGGTGGGGAAGGCCCAAAAACTCGGCCCAAAATCGTGGCAGAAACGAAATGAGGTGGACTTTTGGATGGCCAAAGCACCATGTGTGCTGGTTAAAGCCCTTTCTTCTTGTTGGTGCTGCTTGTATGGCACCCAACAAGGAGGGCAACTCCTGAGCCAAAGGCCTTGCAATACTTGTTCAATGATCACCCTCCAAACCAAAGCCAAGGTGTCAATATGGTATGGTGACAATAGGGGGAACCCCAAAATGGTGGTCTTTCTTTTGGATTCTCCTTAAGCCAAAAAGCAAGGTTGAAAAGGCATAAAGGTGAAAAGATGAAAAGGGTCCCCTCAAGAAGACCCATCTTCAGTGGGGACATGGGCTAGTGACATGTTTCTCCTGCCTCCAGCTTGGCCTCGCGCAGGGGGTCCTTCTTGAAGCTGTCGCCGAGCGCCTGTGGAATCGCATCGGACTAATCGAAGCGGCTGTCGGGGCACGCGAGTTCCCGGTGCGGGAAGGACACGCTGAAGGAATCCCCACATTTTGCTCCCTACAGATTAAGGCGGAACCCCCAAAAACCCACCATTCAATTGTAGAGGAAACTCCTTTTGAGAATCCGACCCCCCTTTTGGGTTCCTTCCTTGCGGAGCAAGTCAATATCAAAACCTGGCATTTCAATGGTCTACCCCACAGGTAAAGAAGCAATAAGCCGGATATCCGCACCCATCAACCTTCACCTACCCGAGCTTTGATTGTGGCTTATTTGCCTGCTGCGTTTATTTCACAGCGGCTCAGGAGCCCCTGAGATTGTGGATCTCTTGGATGACAGGCTCACAGAATCTACTCACAGTTGGTGTTCAACTAGGGTCCTTCCAGGAAAATTTGACACGGATCCCCTCCGACTACAAGCCCAATCTGCAGCCCAGCTAAAACCTCTGTTTCAGGGTTGGCAGCCAGTTCTACATGTCCATGTTCAGAAGCAAATAAAAAAGACTCGCGGTTGAAACTCTGCCAACTGCAACCATCGGAGTTCAAAGGTCTCTCGCCTCATCTTCGCGCCACATCGGCTTCTGACCGCCAAACTGCCGCTTCATCTCCTTTCAACAAAAACGAGCATGCACGAAATTCATTGCGGAAGTCCGAAAGCACTCCAAATGTCAGCAGGATGAAATCGACTCGGGGATTTATCAAGTCGGGACCTTTCAATTTGCAAGAGCGCGTCAAACTCGACCCGAATGAAACATGGTGATGCAAGGCACTCTGTTTTTTTTCAAGTCAATGACAAGTAGAAAGCGCGTCAACTATAATCCTATGTTTCCCCAAGGCAATCTGAACCAACTGCCTTCACCGTCCTGTCACTTCGTGCCTCGAGTTCCGGCAATCCGAATCTGCACTACTCATGGGCCAACCACGGCTTTCTTGGTCCTCGAAGTCCATCCGCAGAAGGCTCTTCTGCAAGGCCTGGAAAAATCAAGCGTGCAAGCGCTTGCAGACGGTTGTTTTCCAGCCAGCTAAGAATGGTCGCTATGCAGTACTTGCAAACGTATCCCCCTGGTCAAGCTGAGAATGGTCCCCCCGGTGGCTATGCAATAGTTGCAAACGGTTTCTCCCGCAAGCTCACAATGGTCCACCTGGTGGGAAATTACCAAGCATGGAGCTCAAGCAATCTCGGAGATATTCAAGACACACAATGTGCGAGAGCTCTACATGGTCCTCTCGTGCCCTCTCAGCTGACCAGACTTGCCTCACCCGACCCTGGCATGAGGCTCTTGGTCGACAGCCGACAGCGCCTCCTCTTCCTGCAAGAGCCCCTTCAAAGCTCCGCTGGCAGGGGACCTGGGCTCATCCGGTGCCGCGTGATCGTCACACAAATGGTCCTCTGGTCCTCCCGCGCAGCTCAACTGAGGCGAAAGACCCCAATTCGCTAGGACCCATGCAAATTAGATGCACCATTTTTTCATCCGACAGCGGATATCCTCATCCAACTCTCAAACTGAGAGAGGATTAGACGCGCACAGAAAAACATCCTTGTAGGCGACAGTGCTCATTGTCCAAAGAATGTATTTCAAGCGGCATGGCTCATCCCCCTGAACAGTCAACACCACATGACCTTCAATCAGAACATGTCTACTTGTGGCTTGCAAAACCATTCGCATGCCGATCCGATATTGCTTGAAAGGAGAACTTGTTGTAGCTTTGAATAGGCAATGCCAGAGTCCATAAGTTGAGCCCCAACGGATCTCAACTGAGCGTCACAATGGAAACCCACAGTTCAGAAACCCCAGGCTGATGTCTACGGGAGTGTCCCATTTGAGAGGGCATCATTCACTTTTGAGCGGAACACCTCCTTCATAATTCGACTCGTCTCTCAATCCGTGGTCGACATCAAGCCGGAAAGTCTGATATCTGGTAGAACCTGACTTGGCAAACGGCCTCTTCCTTGCAGCTGCTTTTGGCCGCTTTGACCTTCCAGTCCGAACTAGGAGCCGCTCAAAAGGGTTTCTTATACGCCCTGCTCCACCAAAATTCCCAAGATATGTCCATTGAGATTGGCCCAAAAGGCAATGTTGAAAGTACAACAAAAAGGAAACACTGTGATGTCTGCTGAAAGGCCAAGTGAGTCTGGGGAAAGTCACATCGTTGCCAGCCGTCTCTCGTGCTTCCGCATGGGAAGCCTCAAATGTTCAGAGCCCATGCTCAGAGGGTGGGGAGCCGAGTCATGTTGACTCCACTTAAAGTGATTTTCTCCAAGTGCACTGTGCGTTGTTCAGGTACTGAGGCTCTTAGTTGCTGGTTTGGCTTCGTGGCTTGGAGATTTGAATCCCTGGTTCTCGTAGCGGGTACCTTGAAACCCACCCCCTGACCAATCCAAACCACCAATTGGAGGGAAGCTCAATTGTAGTCGTACAGAAACAGCACCACGATACGAGTGGCTTCACCCAAAGAACAGCACATGACAGCATCCAAGTCGTTCGTGGCTAAGGAGAATAGAAATTCGATATGTGCGCCAAGACTTTGAAAAAAACATCGGACGTCATGAGAACAAGATAATATACAATAAAGGCAGTGATGCCATTGTACTGCCTTGAAGAGCAGGCAACAAGCAGTACAGAGAAACGCAATGAAGACAAGGTTTTGGTGGTGCGATTCGTGATCATACTGAGACTCTTTGGAAGCAGGAAGAAGGAGTAAAAGGAAGAATCATAGCAGACAGAAAGTTGCGAAAAGAGCAAGCAGTGAATCGGACATTTTGGCTTATTGCTGTCGCGCCTGTCACTTTGGCTGCTGGCAGATCGTTGGATCCTGGGCTGCACCGAAAGGCATCTGGGCACTACTGATTTGTTGGATTCTACCACCATCTTGCGTGTTCTCAGCGGGCAATGTTTGCAAATGAACCTTCCAACCATTCACCTAGTGATTGGCAAAAATTGCATTTCCACATTATTCACTGAGAACAAGCATGCATGTCATTCGATATTGATTTCCGCAATGCCGCAAATATTAGGGGCGTAGGGTTGATGTAGTTGACTGGTTTGGATTCACAAAGGCACGTTGGGGGCATGTGAGACAGAGCCACCTTTTGCACGCGTCCGATGCTTGCGTGCAAGTGGCCTCAGTCCAAATGAATTCTAGACCATCCAACGAGCCAACGAGTCACGGCTTTAGGTCAAGAAAATCAAAAGGGTGTGACACGGCTTGTTTCTAAGTCAAACTGTGTGTCAAAACCAAGCACTCAGTTGTGGAATGTTTGCAGGGAACCAATGTGTCATTCCCGGGGTGAACCTTTGAGGGCCCTTTATTTGGACATAATTTGCATCCCATGTCCACTAACGGAATTGAAAGTGTTCCCAAATAGACTTCATTCAGAACAGCGCCCTGAACTTCCTGGCTGATAAGAATATATACAGGTCTGGGCCTGTCTGATTGTCTCATACCGTGGTCAACAATGGAGGCAGGCATCCCAAGCCGTGAGTGAGTCGTTCGTCCGGTCTTGTACCCTCTTCTTTTTGCTCCCCCTTGAAACCTGCCCGCGGCTCAACTTTGGCAGGCCTGACAGCGAGCAGATTGTGCCTGAAACCAGGACCTTGTGGCTTATCTTCGTACCAGGATCGACACTGGCTCAGCTGAGGAATCCTGCAGGCGCCTGAACATGGGTACCCTTTTTGAAGACACCCTTTTGAGAGGATACCTGTTTGGGGTTGTGCAATCCGCCGTTCCAAAAACGTCCCTTTCGTGGAAAAAAAGACACGGGGTGTTCGATTCCCCCGGGTCCGCTTTTGCATCCTCAGCAGCACCAGCGCAACATCGCCAGCATCACCAGCATCACCAGCATGGGGGCTAAAAGTCTGAGAATCCTGCTGGTAAAATCTTGCTGGCTTAAAGTCCGAACATCTTCATGGCTTGAACTATTAACATATTAATGGCTTAAAATCTAAGAACCGCAATGGCTGAACACCTTAAAATCTGAGTGGCTTAACGTGTTAAAATATGAATGGAACCTTAAAATACGAACGGCTGAAAACCTGAAAGTCTAAATGGATTGAACTCTGAAAAATATGACTGGCTTACAATCATAAAATATGTGTAGCTTAACGCGTTCACATCTTAATGGCATAAAATCTCAAAATATTAACGGCTTAACATCTTCAAATCTGAATGGCTTCAAACACTAGAATCTTAACGGAGTAAAATATTAAAGTCTTATTGGCTGAACGTGTTAAAATATTACTGGCTTAAAGTCTTAACATCTCAATGGCACAAAAAAAAAACGTCTTAAGGGCATCATCATTTTTTAGAATCTTAAGGGATTAACATATGACTGGAAATATTGCAGTGGCTGAAAACCTAAAAAGGGAAAATGGTCGAAGGGACAATTCCAAAGGGAAACATCCAATGGAAAACTTTTAATTGTCCAATGGGAAATTGCCAAAGGGAGAATTTCAAAGGGAAAAGTCGAAAGGGAAAATCCTTGTAGAAAATTATGATGGGAAAATTCCAAAGGGAACACTGCAAAGGGATAAGCTCAATGAGAAAATTCCATCCAATGGGATAATTTCAATTGGAGAATTCCGATGGGAGAACCCCAAAGGGACAAGTTCCAATGGGAGACTTGCAATGGGGACATTCCAAAGGGAGAAATCCAGCAGGGAAAATTCTACTGGGAGAATTCCCAAGGGAAAGTCCAATAGGAAAATGCCAAAGAAACAATTCTATTGGGAAATGAAGGGGGGACAAATGTGACTGGGATAATTCCAATGGGAAAAATCGACACGTAGAAGGAAAGCAGGCCTGTAATGCCGGCGGGCTCTCAAGTAGTGGTTGAAACTCCCCACACGTCACTCCCAAACGGACTATGGGTCACTCAATGCTCAATGTTTTGATAAATCTCAGCCACGGTCAAAACTCCCGGATCATGTCAATGCTCAGAGCTCCCTAGGAGCCCTTTTTGTTGAAAAACGAGGGTTGACCTTGCGGCATGATATCAGGGACAGCCGCCTGCGCCCGTCTGGCGAGATATGGGTCTGCCAAAACGCATTGCCACTCCAGCCGCCTCAAGGCATCTTGAACCCACAGGTAGCCTTCCACCCCCCAGGCCTTGGACGTTGAGGCGCAGCCTGGTGAACTGGGCGGACAGGCGGGCGCTTCGCTTTGACCTCAGGTCTCACAGCCACGGTCAAAATATGCAGTGCCCGACATGGACATGGAAAAGTTCTGAAGTCCCCCGGGTTTCGAATACAGTTTCTGGAGTCCCTCAATGTCCCTAACTAGAATAAACTACTGTATAATTTAATCAATCCGTGTCTAGTGTGCCACAGTCCAAGCTTCGTGCGTTTGTGTTTCCTTACCAGGAACCCTCACGCTGGTTGTGATTTGCTGCTCTCCAGGTTCGAAAATCGCCCCTGTTAATTGTTAACCCTGAGGTGAAGTGTGTGTGTGTGTGTGTGGACCATGGTACACCTGAAACTGGGTCTCTTATCCTGCTGAATGATAAAAGGAGGAAAACTAATTCTAATCTCGATCCTGGAGGAATCTGCGAGATGAACATTTGCCCATGAACCCGGCTAAAGAAACTTAGCTCGCCGCCAAGAAAGCTGGCGTTTGTCCCACATGCGAGACAATTTTTGACAAATTTGCCCCGCTGGCCTCAGGGAGGCTCTCGTCACTGGAGGACAGAGTCTCATCCAAAGAATCCCGCTCCCGCACCTCCAGGCGCTTTTGGATTCCCCCATAAACAAGAGAGAAACAAGTCACTTTAAACGGGCCTTTTCAGAGGCGCTTGTCCTTCGTCACAGTTCCAACCCCTTGGGTCAGAAAAGCCCCTGGCCGGACCCAAAAGAAACCCCAACCCCGCCTGCTCCGCCAAGGCCGTCTCAAGCTCCGCCAGGCCGGCCGAATCGTCGCCCCTGTCGCTCTCCAGCCAGTTCTTCAGCGAGGCCTGCAGCTTGAAACCCACCTCGTGCTTGGAACGAGCCGTGGACAGGCCGTCCTCCTGACAGGGTAGATTTCACACGATTTTGAACGAACTCGGTGATTTGGCCAAAGAATCCTCGAGCCCAAAACCCACAGCCCTGCCTCATCCCCAATGGTGGACGGAGCCGCTGTGGACACCTCGCTCCAGCCTCCGAGCTTTGGCTTCTCCAATTTCCGCAGCGGGTTCCGCTGCAGAGGCCCGGGCAGCGGCTTGGGGGCATTTGGTTTCGCCTTCTCCGTTTGCTTGGCTGCCGCCTGAGCTGAATCCCTCGGCGCCTCCTTGGCCTCCTTGGCCTCCTTGGCCTCCTTGGCCTCCTTGGCTGGACTTGCTTTCGCCGCTTCCATGTGGAACAAGCGCCGCGCATAGGCGAGGTATGCCTCCCGCTCCTTGCGCGCCTGGCTGAGATGCTGGCGCTTGCCTTCCGCGTTGGCCTTTGCCGCCTGTTCGTTCCAAGCCTGCCCACGCCGCTCAGCGGCGAGCTCCCGCTTCTCCTCGATGTCCTGCTGCATCACCTTGAGGTGCCGAGACGGTGGCGTCAACATGTTGCGGCATGCTCACCCCATGCGCGCATCAGGCCTTAGATTCACAGCACGAGGATGATGTTCTATAGCAAGATTATAATATGCTGCGACAATATACGGCCTGATATGTTGTAGGGTACATGGCCAACTATGGCATGACATGCTGCCAACATCTGTATGCTTTGCCATGTAAAAACATGTATGTTTCTTGAGCCGGGCACGGCACGCGTCAGTCTTGCCACCCTCTATCGGGAAGCCACATGAATATGAAACTGGAAATGAGCTCGATTGCAGCAGGCTCACCCCCCTCTCCCGCTCTCTCACACTCCCTCCCTCTCTCTCGCTCTTTTTTTTTTTATGTTCTCTCTCTCTCTCTCTCTCTCGCTCTTGTCAAACTACATGCTTCACTTCCTGCATTTGTGTTGCATGTATGTTCACTACTGCAGGCCTTGAGCTCACTACTTCGCATGAGTGAAAAAAGGTTGGCAGCTGCAGACTACATCGGTTGACTGTTTGTTTGAACACTACAGCACTTGCACTTGTAAGCAAAGTAACAACCGATTTTAACGTGGTAGCGGAGCTGAGATCCTAAACATAGGGGAGCTCCAGTAAGCAGTAAGTACTACAACCACAGCAACAGCAGTCACATGCCAAACTACTACGACATGTCAGGAGAAGCAGCATCAGCCTCAGCACAACAAACTACAGGAGCAGAGAACGGGCCAACAGCAGACACAGTAGGAGCCACAACTACGGGAGCAGGAACAGAACAAGACAACGACGTTCAGAGACTACATAGATACAAACTGCCACCACCCTTCTTCACTGGTGACTACTCCCAGTATGAAGAATGGCTGTTCAAGCTACAAGCATACCTCGGCCTCATAGACCGAGACTTCGACCTGGTGCTACAACTAGCACAAGTGGCTACACGACAGATTGAGGACACAGACATCAGAACACACATACTCGACCCTACACAAGCAAGCAAAGCAGTAGACCTCTCCAGAGATCTACACTACATCCTCATCAACATCTGTCAGGGAGCAGCAGCTACAGTAGTAAGGCAAAACCGCTACAACGCAAACGGATGTGAAACACTACGACTACTACACAACAGGTTCAGCCTACCAGTAGGAACAAGAAGCGTTGGCTACCTTACCAAACTACTGGAACCTACATTCAACGAAGCGCAGTTTGAAGAACAGTTTCTACAATGGGAATACGACATCAACCGCTACGACTACGAGAAAGACAATGGAACAGCACGTGCAGCACTACCAGATGGAATCAAAATAGCAATACTACTCAACAAAACCGAAGGAGCACTGCAGCAACACCTCCAACTGCGAGCTGGACAGATCACGAACTACATCGAGATCAGAGCACTCATCTTGGACTACTACAAGACGATTTCAGCCTTCACTAAATCTACTTCAGCAGTAGGAACAAACTACAATGGAGGAGCTGTACCAATGGATGTTGACAACATATGGAGGAAAGGAAGAAACTACAAAGGCAAAGGAAAAGGAAAAGGCAGCTACAAAGGAAGCAAGAGCAAAGGCAAGTACAGGAGTAAAGGACACTACAAAGGATTCGACAAAGGCAGCAAAGGAAACTACAACAAAGCAACAAGAGCAAAGGAAAAGGCTAGTCAGGATCCAAAGGATATGGATCAAGCAAAGGCTACAAAGGCCAAGGGAACTACAGCAAATCAAAAGGAAAAGGAAACAACAACTACACAACATGCCATCGATGTGGCAAGCCTGGCCACTGGGCACAAGACTGCAGAGTGCCAGTATGGCACATAGGAGAAGGAGAAGAACTACATCCACTAGAACAAGAACAAGCAGATCATGACAACAATGAAGAACTACCTTAGGATGTGAACGACACTTGGGACTGGTACTACGAAGGAGAAGAAGGACAACACGAGGTGAACTATATGGAGGAGAACTGGAACGACTACGATTATGACAACAGCTGGGATTGGAATGACAACAGCTATGAGGACACAGCAAACTACATTGGAGGCACAAACGAGTCACACCTTACCATTGGACACATCAGACAAGCAAACTCACGACTACACAAGCACAAACCCAAATCACTACTTGGCAAGAGAACAAAACACACAACATCATGGAACGACCACAGCAAGAGCTTTCAACAATTCCTACAAGAAGACACCACAAAGCCACACTTCGACATAGCAGCAGCAAGACAACAACAAAGGAACAAGAAGATTGAGGACACTATCACACACTACATCATGTACTCCAACTTCAAGTCATACCACCACCTGTTGATCGACTCAGGAGCACCTACACATGTTTGCCCGAAGGACTACGCACCAGACCTACCGCTACGACCTTGTGGAGAATCAGTTCCACAACTCTACACGGTTACAAACAAGAAGGTTCCTGTCTACGGCATCAAGTACGTTCCCTACAAGCAGGACAACTTCAGGATAATGATACCCTACTACGTTTGTGATGTGAAGTATCCAATCCTCAGTGCATCAAGACTACTTGATAGAGGATATGGACTTGACTTCACTCCACGACACTGCACCATCACACATGGACAACAACAAGCACACCTCATAAGACACTCAGGACTTTTCTACCTACGAGCAGAGAAGATCGACATCCCTACAGGATTCGACATCTACCCAATGACTACAGACAATGGAAAATCCGGCAAAGCATTGTTCACACCACACAACAGCGGTTGCCCAATACCTGAAGGAGAACTAGATGATTGGCGACTAACCATCATCAACAGACAAGGGCAAGAGCAAGAACAACTACAAGAGAACCCAACACAACTTTCCAAGCAAGAACTACAACGAAGACTAGAAGGTGACAACTGGACTGGAGAAACCAGATTCAGAAGAAAGATAACACCTACACGCAGAGCAACATCAAAGACCACACCAACAAGGCAGAGCTCACAACCACAACGGCTAATGGACACACCACCAACCAGATCAAAGATCCAACTACGAGCACCACAAAAGATATGGAGACCTGAAGCAGCACCTTCTACAAATCTTGACACCACACAACCAAAGGAGACAATCCACAGACCACTCACAGCACAGGAGGACAACCAAGACTACTGGGAAAGACAAGGTGAATACTGGATAAGACACCACACAACACTTAGAACAACTCTTTTCACTCCAACAGATGGACCAGGACATCCACCAATCAGCACACTTGAACCTCACAGAACTACGCAAAGATGACTGGACAGTCATGGGCAACGCAGCACTACCATTTCAATGGAAAGGAACAACAAGGTTCACCGTGAAGAAAGACTACGAGTACATCCAGGAGAACCACGATGAGGAACAACAACACGAGCATCATGAAGCACACAGAGCAAGACAACCACAGCAGCCCAATCCACAACAAATAGCAGAACACAATCTTACACATCTACCATACAGAAACTGGTGTCCGATTTGCGTTCAAGGCAAAGGGCGCCAAGACAACTACAAGAAACAACAATCACGACAACCCGTCATTCAAGTAGACTTCGCCTACATCAAATCACAACAAGACCCAAAGACCATACCAGTACTGACAGCAGTTGATGTTACTACACAACTGTGTATGGCAGTAATGGTCCCGGACAAACCATCAATGATGGACTGCATGGTCAACAACCTACAAGCATTCATCTTTGAGTGCGGAAGAATACAAAGCATACTACAAAGCGACAACGAAGACACACTCAACGCACTTCTAAAAGCTACAGCAGCAAAAGTCGGCTCAATGACTGTACGACACTCACCGTCTTACAGCAGCAACAGTCAAGGAAGCCCTACATAGAAAACTCCTCGGACAAATCCGCGTTGTCAAAGCTCAGGTTGTCCACAGAGCACTGTCTACTACCTTGGGTAGTACGACATGCAGCATGGACGGTAAATCGCTACGTCATCCACTCAGACGGCTACACAAGCTTTCAACGCTGCTGGGGAAGAAACTACGAGCGAGCAATCTGCAAATTTGGCGAGACACTACTTTACCTTCCACCACTTCCAAAAGCAGACCTACGGATGCAGAAATGCATCTGGCTCGGAAAAGTTTCCGAAACCGGAGAAAACTACGTCGCAACGGAATCAGGCGTACAAAAGGTACGAACAGTACGGAGACTACAACCGGACTTCAAATACGACCTCGCACTGTTGAACAAAGTTTCCGGCACACCATGGGCACCACGACGGAACACCTACAACCCATCGTTCGCAACACTGTTGGATACGCAACTACAACCGTCAGAGAAAAGAAGGTCCACGCAAGATTTCGGACAACAGACGAACGCTACGGACGACATCGCTGCGGAACCCGCAACAAAACAACAACGCACTACACCACCTCCACGACTTCCGTCTACATTGACGTCAAGTTCACGACCACTACCGGATAGTCCTATGGCTACTTCACCAACCGGACGACAACATCCACCACTACCAGCACCACCTCGACAAACACTACGACGTTTAACTCTGGAAGAAGTAATGCAACCAACTAAAGCACAGAAGACCTCAAAGGACACTACAATCAGATCAACGGAGCAAGCAACCAAAGAACCACCACCACTACGACAGAAAATCAACGCAGTGACACTTCCCAACGGAAAATTCATCACCCCCTACACAAACGACGACACCTCAGAAGACAAACCCATAATCTTCGACAACGAAGGTTACGACGAAACACAACTACTGGAAGGAATGAAACACGAGTCAAACCAAATGAAGCTACATGACGTCTACGACGAAGTAGATGCGTCTACCGTCGACGACAACGTCATCAGAGAAGCGATACCTACAAGATGGGTACATAGAAAGAAAGGACCAGGAGTACGAAGCCGAATCGTCGCAAAAGGCTACACAGAGAAGATCGAGAACGAAGACTCCGTCTACGCCTCTACACCAATGTTCGCCACACTCCGGACACTTCTAGCACTACAAATGTCACGACCAAACTGGATCGCGCGACTAGGTGACGTCTCTACAGCATTTCTACACGCACCCATCGCAAAAGACCACGA